TTCGTTATTATGTTAATAAATATTGTAATGTAATTAAATAGTTTAAAATAGGAATATTTATGTCAAAATATAATAACAAAATTACCATAAAAAAAGTATGATTTTTTTTCAATAAATAAGACATTTTTAATAAAAAAATTATATTTATTCGAAAATAGATATATAAATTTGTGAAAATTATGATTTTAATTTTTTTTTCATACAGATAAATTGATAAAAAAAAGTAACAATTTTTATTCTCCAACCTTTGTATTAAAATTTTTTCTCAACATCTTACATTAGGTTAAATTACACTTGTACCCTTTGAGGTTTCTTTAAGAAAACACTCTAGACCAAACCAATTAAAAATAAAACTGCACTTTATTCCATTTGTGTTAACCTCTTTTTTACTTCCACTGAAAGAAAAGTAAATAACTTTGTCTTTCGTAACTTAATCAAATTGTTGAACCTCTTTCAAATATCATCATGTAACTTTATTATATGAATATTTAAATGCTCTTACTTATGTTTTGTATTTTATTTCTTAATGTTTTATACTAAAGTAAATTGGAATATTAAACTAATTACATAAATGTAGTAAGAGTTGGTATAGAAATCAATAAAACATATTTTTATTTTCTTATTAATTTTTGTATGAAAAGTAGAAAATTAAAAAATATAACTTTTTTATAATTATAAATAAAATGATTTTTAGGAAATACAAATACGAATGAATAAGTATTATTCGAAATCTAATCTCTTAATGTTTTAAGTTGAGAGTCGTGTTAATTTTTATATGGGTTGGATTCATATCTCATTATTATGTTATCTTTCTTCAGTAAATCTCCCTTGAAAGACTTCAATGAATGATAGCAGAATCGAAATTTAATCAATAGTGGGTCAAAGTGAGTCAAGTAAGCGTATTCCGTTAGAGTGAATAATAATATATGGAAGGACTACTAATGAGTTTGAGGGGTACCAATGTGGAGGTGGGACATAATGGTCTTTGTATCGAAAGTCTTATTGATAGAGTGATTTCGTTAGGGTAAACGACGCTACATGATCTTTGTATCAAAAATCTTTCTAACAGAGTCAGTCAGATAAAAGTGTCCCCTTAGAGTAAATGGTAAATGACGGTACATAGAAGGACCACAACCACATTACATAATCTTTGTATAGAAAATCTTTCTAATAGAGTGAGTCAAGTAAGCTTGTTCCGTTAGGATAAATGGTAAACGACGATATATGAAATAATCAATGGTGAGTTTAAGGGGATATACCAATGTGAGTTTAAGGGAATATACCGATGTGGTGAAATTCATTCTTAAGGGAGAGATTGTTGAGTAATTTAAGTATAAGTAGATATAAAGAAGAAAAATCCATAACTCAATGTTTTAAAATATTAATTTTTCAAAATAGTCAATATATCAAATAAAAATAATAATTTCTTTTATCAACTCTATACAACTAAAATTTATTGTATATTTTATTCATCCATATTTTTTATTTATTATATATTTTATTCATTCGTATTTTTATTTTATAGTGATTTTTTTATTAATTTGTATTTTTAATAAACTGTAACAAAAATAGAACATGTCTTAAGAAAATGTATTGTACAAATACAGAGAATTCATATTCTTCTCTACCCTTCTTCCGGTCAAAGAAAAATTAATTATAAAAAAGGGTTGTTAGAATAATAATATTTGCTTAATAGATTTAGGTAAAGTGTTGTTTTTGATAAAGATGAAGGGACCAAAATGTAATTTCACCCCACATTGTTTGAAAATTGTTCCCACCTAATCCTGTTTTATAATTTGAAAACAAATAATCATAAGGTGAAAAGTCATAAAATAATAATAATAATTATTATTTACATTCAAAATCTCAATCAAAATTAAGAATTATTTATATATATAATTTTTAATTTATTGAAACAATTTTTAAAAGTAAATTTATAAAAAACATGTAATTTTAAAATAAATAATATCATGATTCAAATAGTCTATAAAAAATAAAATTGAAATATTGATTATATTTAAAAAATTAAAAAAATAATTTTAGGAATAATTAAAATATGTTTTTATTATCTTAAAATATTCGAGTTCAAAATAATATGTTTTTTATTCATAAATTTTTAAACTTGTTTTAGTCCTTATAATTTAAAATTAATATTTTGAAAATTTGAAAATACATAATTTTTTTATATTTAAAATTAAAATTTAATTATATTTTTACTATAATAAAATTAATAAAATTAATAAAATTACTGAATTTATATAACATATGATTTTAATAACTTTATATATAAATTTAAGTATTTAATAATAATTTTTTATTACTATAAAATTGGTAAAAAATAAATTTATATAATATTTAAAATTTGAATACAGATTAACCAATTCTTAAAACATCAAAGTGAACATTTTAAAAATAAAAATAAAAAATTTAAAATTATTGTGTAGATTAAGTTTAGATGAAAAAAGTAAGTTGAAAATTGTTGATGAAAGACATGACTTTGTGGGAAGATATGGTTTTCGTAATTTCTCTTTTTATTAAAAATAATAAAAAATAATTTAGTTTGAGTGAGTCACGGGTAACGAAAGTGATTCCTAATTGTTGCAGGTGGCTTTTTCTGCTACAATCACCCATCCTCACGTGACACTCTCACGTGTCACGCTCTGTTTTAAGATTCTACCTCCAATTTTTCTTTATTACATATTCATCTTCTATGTGTCATCATCAATTCTAATATCTAACTTCACCTCTTTACTTTTAATTTTATTATTATTATTTATTTATTTATTTATTGATATATTAGTTAAAATTATTTAAAAAGTGGCATAAATATTTATATATTATTTAATTAAAAGTAAAAGAGGACATTAAATTGTCTTAAAAACAATTTAATGTTTTTCTTGTTAACTTTTCCTCAAATAATTAAGATGATTGTCAGGTTGATATTTTCAAAGAAGTGATTGGCTTTATATATTTTGAAAGTCTCAAGTATTTATTTCTTTGCCTCTTTCTAATCAACATGCATGCATTATTGATTAAAATAATAATAAAATAAAATAAAATAAAATATTATTCACCATCTAATATAAAATAACAATAATAATAATTGGTGGGTATTTATGAAATATCATTATAGTGAATAAAATCAATGACTTTTTGTTTGGTCACACTTCAATTTTAAGACTAAACTAACACATTCAATGAATTTAACAATACTTTTTAATACAAAAGTATGAAAAATCATAAAATAGAAGAAAAGGGTTCCACTTCAGTGGCATGAAATGGTAATTAAGAGGAAACTGAAGGGCAAAATTGAGACACAATCTTTCATTTTGGGAAAAAAGACAAAAAGGAGGTCAGCGGAAACATAAAGGTTTGGCCGTCCAACCCTGTCTTTGCAGCTTTAAATAGGAAAAATAATTAATTTGTGAATAAAAAAAGAAAAAGGAAGAACTTTATTTTCTCTAAATTTGATTGCTTTATAACAAATTTACCATATTAACCATGGATTCAAATGGGTACACACATTTTGATTTTGATTTTGATATTCAGAATTTTTAATTGCCCCTCACGGACGCCAAATTGTTCTTAACCAAATTGTATTTATCGGGTTTAGGAATTTATTCAAATCAAATAAAGCTTTTTTGATAATATTTTATTTAGTTAATTTAAATACACTTTATTATCACCCTTGTTTTATCCTTGGTTTTTTCTCCCTGGTTTGTTATTATTATTTTTATTTTTTAATTGCTGTAACAGTAGTATTTATTTTCAGCTTTCCATTTTTCTTTCTTTTTCAACTCTCAATTCAAGCAGCTTTGGAAAATCCAACCGGCCAACGGGTTTTTTTTTCACCTCCTGAAATTTGTAAGTGGCCTTCAATTTTCAGAGCAAACAGTGTGTTTTTTTCTTCTTCTTTTTTGGTGTTTTTTTTTCTTCTGTTTTCACTTTCTGGGGTGAGTTCAGTTGAGTTGATGAGTTTCTTGGTGAGCTGCAAGAGAAATCTGAATACAAGTTTTCAGGTTTGGAAGAAGCTTGCTCAAGTTTGGAATCACTGTGACAGGTCATGATCTTTGCATTCTGAAGAATATCGACACCCTGATGTTGATATGTTTTCCATGAGAGAATATATAAGGAAGCCTTGTTCAAATATTTTTTTTTTTTTTTTTTTGGTATTTGTTACTATTTTTCTCCTTTGTTCCAGCTTTCTGTCTTCTAAAGTTTGGGAAAATGCTGGGTGTGAAGCAGATTTATGCCAACCGGTGTTGTTTGTTTTTCTAATTTTGAAAAGCCTAAGATGTTTTTGTATGGCTTCTGCTTATTTTTGAACACCAGCCTGAGAAATATTTGAACAAATGAATGTTTTTTTTTTACCAGGTTTTTCATAATTACTTTAGCCAAGTGGGGATTTATTTTTGAAAAATATGAAATTGTACTATTTTACTAATTTTTGTTATTTTGCTTTTAGTGGCTAATATATATATATATATATATATATATTTATATATTTATATATTTATCTTTTTCATCTCTTGCTAGGAGGTAAATTTCTGGTTCCTGTGTTTGAAACCAAGTACCCGATTTTCAGACGTGAAAACAAGGACCACAATTCTTAACTTCGATTGCAAATATCTGCATTTCTTGTTATGATTCTCTACTAAGAGCCTAAAGTGTTGAAATCTATTTGTTGTTTTTTCCCCATTGCATAGTTAAATTTCCCAATGGTTCTTTGCTAATAAAGTGAAACAGCTTCTTGTTAAACTGAAGTTTGCATCTTTTTCATTACCTTCTTACTCGTCAGTGAGATCCTTGGATGGGTTTTCACTGTGTCTTTGTAACATGCCCTAGAAGGTTTGTTTGAAGGCATTGATGCTTTTGGTTAAAGCCATATATTTTTTAAAGAATTATGCTCTAATATTCCGTTTGCTTACTAATTGTTCTTTATTCTTTTCTGGTGTTGTAGGTGTTGGTTTGGTGATATAAAGTGAAAATTCAATATTTGCATGGAAGCCAGAGAAGGAATTAGTTCTGGGGTTACAGTGATAGGGGCAGAAGCTCCATCAGCTTATCATGTGGCCCCGAGGAGTGAAGCTCCGAACCAGGTTCATGTCCCTGATGGTGGTGGTGGTGGTGGCGGAGGCGGCGGCGGAAGCAACGGAGGTGGCGGCGGCATTGGTGGTGCTGCAGCTATTGGTGTCTCTCCTGTGAGTGTGGGATTGGATGGAACAGCAAAGAAGAAACGGGGTAGACCAAGGAAATATGGGCCTGACGGGTCTGTCACCATGGCATTGTCACCAATGCCAATCTCGTCTTCTGCTCCTCATTCTAATGATTTTTCATCAGGCAAGCGGGGGAAAATGCGGGGTATGGAATATAAGCAGTCTAAAAAAATGGGTTTGGATTATATAGGTAAATTATGGATCCTTGTCTCTTTGATGAGTTGAATGTTGATTGTTTTTGTTGGTAATCGATATGGTTTATCAAGTGATTTTCATTTTGTTGGTAACATTTGCCTTGTAGTAAAGTATGTTTCTGTTTCTGATAATGAAATTACTTGTTTGTGATTCTTTGGATTTGTACCCTGTCTTAACTTGGGAGTTGGTAACTTCTTTCTGCAAATCTTTCAGAGTTCTAATTTGTTTTTAATAGCTTATTTAGCCATCCTTTTGTGAGAATTCTTTTTTCTGCTAAGCAAGGTACAATGCATTAGTTTTTGAAATTTGTTGTTTTATGCATAATTAAGGAACTTTGTGTTATTGTGACTGTCATTTTGTAACATTCTGTGTGGGGATGATGAGATGTGTATCATCATTGAGATTGAAATTGAATGCATAAGTTGAAATAGCGTGGTATTTGTTGAAAGGTAAGCTTATTTGCTGCTAGCTTATTTATCTCTGAATGGCCTGGCCTCTCTCCTGATTGAATTAAAAAATGTCACCTATCTAATTGTTTTTGTTTTAAATTTAATATTCCTACCACGTCTAAGTTAATTCAGATAACATTAATATTCTGGGGGAAATATGAGTGTTCTTTTATAGACATTATTGCTTGCTTTCAAAGTTTCAAGTCTGTTCAGTAATATCTATTCTTTGTGCTTCTATAGGTGACTTCAATGCATGCTCTGATGGTACAAATTTTATGCCACACATCATCACTGTCAATGCTGGTGAGGTATGCTTGGCTGGGACAGGGCAAGGGAAAAGCTTCATATAATTTACGATTTTACATTTCATTTTTCAAGTAGACATATCCATTTTCTAGCCCTTTATTTGTTTGTTTATTTTGAATTTGAATTATAAATCTATTGAAAGAGCACTTTAAAATTATACAACTTTTTCCTTGTTCTGTGAATGGAGTTAGCAATTCAAAATGGCTAGATATGGATTATGGTATAGGAGTTGTGCTAGCAAAATAAATTTAAAATACCTGAAAACCATATGTATTTTCTGTGGTGTTATAAACGGAAATTTTATCTTGCATCTTTTTTCGTGATATCAACATTGTCATGGTTAGTTGAACAGTTTTCAGGTCCAGGTATGATATCCAAAACTTCATGCACAGAAAATCTAAAGTGTTTGTAAAGTGTTTGACACGTGCATCTGTTTCACATGGATACAACAAGGGCATATTTTTTTTTTGAAGTGTCGATGATTTCTTGGTGATCTTGAGGCATTTTGATTGAAAGATCATGTTTTAATTTTTAATTTTTTTTTTGTTAACTACAGGGCTTGATTTGCTCCATTTCTTTTTATAGTGTTAAAAAGTATTTTGCTTGAGTTCAAAAGAACTTACTAAAAAGCAAGTTTGCAAACGAGTTAACTGGGTTCATGATGTTGGTTTTGGATTTTGATAACCATGAGTGTAATTGTTAATTTGGTTCTAGTTCATGACACGAAGTTTGAATGCATGGGAGAAAGCCCAGTGTTTTGTACTTTATTATCCATTTGAAGGAAAACAAAAAGGCTTTGTTTATACTTTCTCTAAGCAATGTTTATATTTTATGATGCTAAAACTCTCCCTGAAAGATAGTGGATTGAGGTTGTCTTGCTTTACCCTTTGGTTGTTGTAGGACATTACAATGAAGGTGATATCGTTTTCTCAACAAGGGCCAAGAGCTATATGTATCTTATCTGCTAATGGTGTAATTTCAAATGTTACTCTTCGTCAGCCTGATTCTTCTGGGGGTACTTTAACTTATGAGGTGCAACATTAATTTATGTCATTGATTGTTTTATTTTCCTTTTGTAAGCTTTCCGATTTTTGTCCAATTCTGCTTTAATTTTTCTTTCATTTCTATCATTCTTCCATAAATATGACACTGTTTTGCTTTGTGCTGGGTTTGATCTCTAATTCATAGTCAAATTTTTTGCCTATTGCCATCTATTTTGTAATCACCATTTTGGTCTATCTGCCTGTGACTTGCAATTGCTGGTGAATTCTGTGGCTGGCTTTTGGTGATGTCTTCAGTGATACCTTCTCTTAGCTACATTTATATTATTTTCATACATATTGAGCTTAAGAAATGAATAAGAATTGCTATATTTCTTAGGCTATAAGATGGTAGCATTAGGTTTTACTTATGGAGACTAAAAATGAATAAGGTTATGCTTGATACTATTTTATGGTTCTTGGTGGTAATTTGCATAAGATCATTGTTGGATTGGGAAATATAGTTTTTTGTTTGACTATTGACATGTACATGATGGTGCTATATAACTACTGCTATATTTTTTCTGAAAACATTTTCTTTTATAGGGCCGTTTTGAGATACTTTCCTTGTCTGGATCATTCATGCCTACTGACAACCAAGGTTCAAGAAGCAGGTCTGGTGGAATGTCTGTTTCCTTGGCTAGCCCTGATGGCCGTGTTGTAGGTGGTGGAGTTGCTGGTCTTCTTGTAGCTGCCAGTCCTGTGCAGGTAAGTGACCTCCATCACTTCTCATTAGTATATGATCACTCATGCATAAGTGCAGGTGTACTTGAATGCTTCATAACTGAACCAAATAATATTTTCCCCAAGGCAGGGTAAAATTCACTGGCTGCATGTTCTCCAAACATACGTATATTTTTATAAATGTTATTTTACAACAATGTCATGTTCGGTTATTAAGAATCAAAATCACGTTTGCTTACTATAGTTGAGATGAAAGTTTCTCTATATAAATTTCTTCACTTTAAATCTATTATTAATCAAGATATCAATTTTGTAAAATCAATATCCAAAACAAAGTTTGCAAATACTTACTCTTAGATGACTCATGCATGTTCTCTTTTATGTTTAGGTGGTGGTGGGAAGCTTTTTACCAAGCAGCCAGCAAGAACAGAAAATAAAGAAGCCCAAGTCTACTGATTATGCAGCAGCAGCAGCAGCAGCTGCTGTTACTCCAGTTATTGCAGTGTCTTCTGCACCAGCACCACCACCTCCACCTTCAACCAATGCTGAAAAAGAGGATGTGAATATTAATGTGATGAGTGGAGCACATGTACTGCAAAATTCTGGAAGTCTTAACCCTAACCTCAGTCCTCCCAATGCCTTTAGAAGAGACAACTGGGTCAACATGCACTCTATGCCAGACTCAAGAAAGTCAGCTACAGATATTAACATATCTTTGCCTGATTGTTAAGCTGATGATCAACCTGCACTCTCTATCCTCAAGTGCTCTTGCTGACAACTTTCATGACTCAGCTGTTTTATTTGATGTTTACAGTTCTCTCTCTCATCTAAAGATTGTTTCAAACATGTCTGATGTCTATTACCATAGGATGTAGTTTCAATGTTGTAAGTTGCAGTTAGGTAGAGTATCTGATATATTTATCGGCTGATTAGGTAGATGCTGCACTCTGCAGTATTATGAGTAGGCTAATTCCGATGTAATGAGAACTTGTTTGTCTATTTATTTATGACTGAATTTGTTGAAGCGTTTGTTTTTCCCTATATTTGGTATGTTGAGGATTGTTACTTCTTTTTCTTTAGTTTAAGATGTATTTTTATAACATTTTGAAAAAAGTTTTATAATTGTTTTCTGAACAATCTTACTTGTACTCTATTTTTTCCAGAATTAAAGAATTTTGTTATCGATGAGAAGCAACATGGAAAAAAGAAAATAGCTTTATTAGAAACTTCTTATTCTAATAGAAAAGTTTCTTTGCAAACCTGACTGCACTTTTTCTCAAAAGCATGTTCGCATGCAGTTAATCCTTTCTGAAGATTTTCAACATCATACTGCTAAGACTTCATACACAAAAGTTAGATTTCAAGGATACTAAAAATGATTGCTCAGAAAGGTATTTAGACATTTAGTCAGAGAATATACAAGCTTTTAGAAAGGTTGTCTTACTTTATGCAAGAACTTTAAAACCGACACATTCAAACTCCAAATCCTTTTCAAAATCACCATTGATAGAGAAAGGTTCTTTGCCATTGGTACATGTTCAAAGAGTGAATGATTTGAAACAAGTCAACAGAGAGAAACTTGGTCTTCAAAGTTGATATTCATTTATTCTTATTAGTGAATGATTTTTCTTGTTATTCATGTAACAGTTACATGTTAGATTTATAACAGTTCTTTTCTATTAAACAATTTCCTTTTCTGTTATGCAGAATTTTATATAAATTCTATTTGTAAATGTCTTTCTCAAAATTTTAATACAATGAGAATTTTTACACAATCTGAGAACTAAGAACTCTTTAAATTTTCTAGTTCTGAATACCTTCATTTAGTTCTAAACATATCTTAGGAGGTGTATTGTGAAAGTCGTACTCATATAACTAATATTAATTTAGAATGTTAATCGGAAAAGAAAATTGGGTTGTGAACTTTTTATAGAAAGAATATCAATTTAGGATGTAGTTAAATAAATTTCTCCCCATAAATAATTTTAATAGAAAAAAACTCAAAGTAAATAAATTTCTTCTTATTTGTAGCTTGAGGAGACAATAAAATATTTATTTTTGGTTGATTGATTAATTAAATGATAGAGTATGTTTTGAATATAATAATTATGACAAATGTTTGTATTTAATATAATTAAAATATTTTATTTATTTTTTATATAATATTTATTATTCTGTTAAATTTTTAATTTTCACCATTAAAAAGTAATTAGTTTTATGCTATATAATGAAAGATAAAATGTATAGATGTGAGTATTTAGGTTTATAATGTTTCCTTGTAATTAATTTTGGACAAATATATAATGAATTATTTTCATATATGTTGTTGAATGATATTTAAATAAAAAAAATACCATATACATCATTTAATCATGAATCTAAAATAAAATTAATGACTTCTCTAATATTGATGATTAAAAACTCAATTGAGTAATTAAGAATGTATGAAAATCAGACTAATTTTTTAATAGAATTATACACCAATATTTCTCATAGTTATTGTGTTAAAAGCATATATTACCCTTAATAAAAATATCACGTGTTAGGATTGGTTGGATGCAACATAAGGATTATTTATTTCAAATATTTTGTGAAACTATATTTTTTCTCTTACTAGGATTAGGATAAGAGAGATGTATAAATTAAGCTTTAGTTTAGTTTTAATATAAAATCTATAATTAATTACTTCAGACATGACTTTTTAATAATAGACCAAGTTTAGTATATGGGTGTAAATGGAAAAGTAAGTATTTAATAATGAAGATGATTTATGACTAAATGACTCCATTACAACTGTAATGAATAAGTTATAGTAAATAACTACAAGTATTTAAATTATTTCACAAATTCTTAATTAAAATTTTAATAATTATATTTAAAAAGAATATGATTATTGATTTATTTTATTTCTTAAAATTACATTGCTACTATGTATAAAATATATTTTTTCAAATAAAAAAGTGAAGATAAGAAAGAAAACATGTTATAAAATTTATAAAGAAATGTAAAGTTAATAGTAAATTAAATAGACATTTTATTTGCTTTACCCATGTACATGCATATTTCCATGCATTTAAAGAAAAAAATACACAAAGAATTCATTCGAAGAAGAATGGAGATAGCCATGTATGTATCATGGAGAAAATAACTTAGTTATGAAGTAAAATAAAATTGAAACAATATTAATATTTAACACTATATATGCATAAAGAGAAAAGAATTTTTTTTTCCCACTTATCAAAATCAAAATGCAATTTATGTGTTATTACTGAAACTAGTTGTTATACTTGAGTAAAAACATTATCCCTTATATTGAAATAAAAAGTTGATGGATATTTTATGACAAAAATAATCACAAATTAAAAAATAATTTTTTTTATTTTTGATCAAAATTAAAAAAATTATTTTCACTAGTTATTAACGCTCTTTCAATTCCAATTAACTTCTTTATTTTTCAAACATTGAAAATTAACTATTTAATAGAAAAAGAAAGTCTCAAAATCATTAATATTCTTACAATATATAAGGGTTGAACACAAACTAATATAATTTTAATATATTTCATCTGGACTTAAATCCAGACATATTAATATGTATAAGCCATTAGAGTATATATATATATATATATATATATATATATATATATATATATATATATATATATATATATATAAACAATAAAGTTACAAATAATTTATAAAAAAAACTTTTTCTTTTCTAAATCTTTTTTTTTTAATTTTAAGACCCATCTCATATGATATAGATGCAAATTTTAACTATATAAAATTTGCATATTAAGTAAATATTATCATAGTTTTAGTTTATAATTTATTAAAAAGATGAAAGATTTTGAAAATAAAGCACAAGGTGTATTTAGAGATGTTTAAGGTCAAACAACATAAAAAATTCAAATCCCCACTTTTATGAGCTCTTGGTTTCAAATATTTTGAAGGTGAATAAATCTACCATTTTATAGGCTTGTTGCTTTCATTGGCAAACCATGAATTCAAAAAATAAAAAAAAATAACAATACAAAAAAGGGCTTAAAAATATCATAATCTATGTCATGAATAAAAAAATAACAATTAAAAAATAGGATTTAGTCTTATAGTTTATCTTTCTTTCTATGAATTTAACAACATAATTGAAAAAAAGGAAGATAAAAAAGTACAAGTTAATTACTTATTGTGGTGATTTTGAACTTTCAAATAAACATATTTATCAAAAAATATAGATAAAATATGGAAGAAGGAAGAAATATAAAAAAATGAAATTTGACTATTTAAAGCACCAGAAAGTGAAAAATGAAAAATAAAAGAATAACTTCGAATTAGATCATAATAAAATTGATATTGAATAATTAAAAATAAATAAAATAGGAGATTCTCGATTTTAAAATGCAAAATTCGAACCCCTCCCTCCACTATAATCCATGTTATCATAGCGCAGCAAAACCCTCTTCCGCATTCAATTCCTCCGTTCTGAGCAATCTCCGATTCCAATCCATGTTCGTTTTGGTGAGCAACGGCACCATCAATATTTTACGCCACTGCACTCTCCTCCGTCCACGCCTAGTCACTCTTCTGTCTTCTTCTCTCCGTCACGGTTTCCGTGCCTCGCCTCCAATGGACAATGCCCGCAACAGCCCCTTCTCCTCCTACGCTCACGCCTCTCCCAGGTTCCTTTCTCTTTTCTCTTGTCATTTTTCTTTTTTCTTTTTACTCTTAAATTAATTAGTGCGTAAATGCTGTGCTGTGTGTCGTGAGAGATGTTGTTGATTTCGAAGGCTTTGTTCGGTTTAGGAAATTTGATTGTAAATCGAAGGTTGTTAATTTGATTGTTCTGGCTGTGGCAGTGGACAGGCCTTTGATATGAAAAATAATGGAGAAAAAAGAAGAGGGCGTGGTGGTGGGAGTGGCTCAGGAAAGGACAAAATTGACGCTCTTGGTAGGCTCCTGTAAGCATTACTTCTCCCTCTATATTTTTTATTTTTTCATGAACATTTTTTTTTCTTTTTTTTTATAGCTGCAAAGTGTGAGTTTCATCAGTTGTTTTTTATTTTGTTTGTAACATAATGTGGTATTGTTATTCTTTTTACGTGTGGAAAGAAGTTTGGGAAATGTATGAAATTTGTTTGCCTTCAGCAACAGAGCGAATGAGCTTTGTGATTTGTCTTAATTAAGCTGTTTTGTGCTTGATTCTTACGTGGAAGTAAATCCTCTCAATTTATCTGGGTTTAATATGTGCAGGACACGGATTTTACGACATACGGCAACTGAATTGAATTTGAATATTCGTAATGATGGTTTTGTGAAAGTTAATGACGTGCTAAAGCTGAATATGAAGACATTTGCTAATATTCCATTGAGATCGCACACTGTTGATGATATTAAGGAGGTCAATTATTTCATATATGTTTTGTTCTCTGTTTCAGAACATGCTCATTCCATCTTTTTTTTATGCTGCCTTGTCAATGTCATTTATTTTGTAGTCAGATTCTTGTGTCACATTATCCGAGAAGCATTTGGGTGAAAATATAAAAATTAAGTATGTAATATTGTCATATTATTGATATTAGATAAACTCTTCAATATTTGATGTTATGAAACAATAAATCTCACTTTGTTTCATTGCATGTAGAACATAAATTCCTTGTATCGATTTACTGGCATATGTAGAATTGAGTGGATCTTCATTGAGCTTGAATACTGTTATTAGATGTTATACTGGTTTTAGTTAAGTGTTAGTTGGAGAGAAGCCTTTATTTGTTAGTTATTCGTGTTAAAGCTAACTGTAGGCTTGCTATCTCCTTCTATAAAGTCTTAACTAGCTGTAAAGAGTTGGACGAAGATGTGCTGAGAAACTATTGGGTGAGGTTCCTTTATTGAGTGAAGTTGTTCAAATATGAGAATAATCATCTCTTGTATAGTTCTTGCAATTTTTCTCTTATAATAAAAGTCCTAAGTACCTTGAAGAGTGGATATAGAGGATTATACCCAAACCACCTTAACTAGGAACATTAACATGGTAATTTTCTATCATCCAAAGAATTTATATTTTGTCTATATTACTGGTTTTGACCTACTTTTAAATTTTAACTTAATTTAAGTAATGAACGTGGCTTCTGTGGCTTTTGTGAATGGCTATTTATTATGCTTATATAGCCTCTTTTTCTCTAAATTATGCTTAAATGTTATTTATATTTAGTTTTATTTTTCATCATTGTAAACAATTTGTTGCAAGTCCATGCCATTATCATGTGAATTAACTGAAAGAAAAACATTGTATTCTAAAATATTTTTTGGTTACTCTCTTAGGCTATTCGACGAGATAATAAGCAGCGGTTTAGCCTTATGGAAGAGAATGGGGAACTATTAATACGTGCAAACCAAGGCCACACAGTAACGGTAGCATATTCCTTTTTATCAAGTGTTGACAACGTCATGTAACCATTTTACTTTTGAAGTGTTGAAGAAACAATAGAACTTAAAGCCTGTACTCTAATGCATTTAATTCTGTTAAAATTTGCTTTTGCCATTGTCATGTTAGGATGCCAATGAAAACTCTAATGATGCTTAATGTCTTGCATTGTACACTCTTTCCTTTCCTTTTATGCCTTTAGACTGTTCAGTAGAGCTGGGCATGTGAACAGAATGGAGTGGAACAGTCTATTTCATTCTATTTCTTTGGCTCTAAAGTGTACCACATTTTTAACCTTATGTGCTGTTCTCATTTTAAACTACACCAATCAATGCCTTAAGGTTAATGGCTGTATAATAACACCAAAAGGTTTACACAGAACAAACACTAGTTTGAAGTGGGATTGTGGCAGCAAATATTCCGTCTTAAAAACAGATAAATGTTGATACTAAGTATTATCAATGGTTTCTCGTAACCAATTTACTTTTTAAGTGTTGAAGAAATAATAGAACTTAAAGTCTGTACCCTGTAATGCAACCTATGGTAATGCATTTAATTTTCTGTTAAAATTTGCTTTTGCCATTGTCATGTTAAGATGCCAATGAAAAACTCTAATAATGCTTAATGTCTTGCACATTCTTTCCTTTGTTGACTTCCTGATTTTTGTTGTTTTTTTTTTTTTTTTTCTTTAGAAGGTCTGCTAATATGACTTCCATGATATATTTGTTACTTTCATGGTTAAATGAACTCCAATGCACTTCAGATATGATATCTATACTTAGTACTGAAAATAACTCATTTTTTTTATGCAAGTTCCTTTCCTTTTTATGCCTTTAGACTCTTCAGTAGAGCTAGGCATGTGAACAGAATGGACTGGAACAGTCTTTCAGTCTATCTTTTTTTACTATAAAGTGGTGGAACTAAATATTTTTAACCTTATGTTCTGTTCTCAATTTAAACAACACCAAACATGGATCAGAACTCGTAGATTGTGTTATGTCCTGTTATAACCTGTCTACCAAACATTGCTTTAAGGTTAATGGATGTATAATAACCACCAAAAGGTTTACACAGAACAAACACTAGTTTGAAGTGGGATTGTGGCAGCCAATATTCTGTGTCAAAAACCAATAAATGTCAATAATAAGTATTATCAATGGTTTCTATTGTCAATGCGCTAAACCTTTTTTTAATCCTGGACTGTATATTTCCTTAATAAAAGATCTCTTTAAAATTGTCAGTCAAGTGACTGGAAAAAATTATGCCAGTAATGTTGTCCACAGCCTTGCCAAATTCTGTTATCTGCCTTTTGCTCTTAGGCATATGTATCACTAATACTTCTGTTTCCAATCTTGTAACAGTTGAAGTAGTAGATTAATGTATGTTATGTTGAAGTTTTGAATAGTAAATTCATTCAATTTTGTCCATCTGCCCTTGCATTACAATTATTGACTTTTCATCTGCAGGCTGTTGAAACTGAAAGCTTATTAAAACCAATCCTTTCAGCTGAAGAAGTTCCAGGTGCATAATTATTAGATTTGCAGTTTTTTTAACTCAAGTCATGATGACCACTGTACATAGCAACACATTCACCTCTGTATGTTATGATGCTATGTACATATCTATAATTGAAATTTATCTCTTCAATGGTGGATAAGTTACCATATTTAGTGTTTTCCAATAACCTGGTATTTTATTAACACAATTCTAATTACGTAAGAGCTGTGCATATTCCTTTTTCAAGTCATATTTGTAATTGTTTTTTTACTGTATTGCTATTTTTTTGTTTCATTTGCTTGATTTTGGGATTGTATGCAGTTTGTGTGCATGGAACCTACAGAAAGAACTTGGAATCAATTCTAGGATCTGGGCTGAAGCGCATGAAAAGATTGCATGTTCATTTCTCTTGTGGTTTACCAACAGATGGAGAAGTAATTAGTGGTAATGTGATAAAACGAATCCTGTTTAAGTATTGAAGTTTAAATTTTGATTTATTGTCTCATTTTTTGGTAAGGCAAGTTAATTTTTTGTAAGGGATATTAAGGATGAATTGATGATACTTAAATTTAAAAGCAATAAGGAGTAACATGCGAGATGTGTATTTTGATTGATGATGTAGCTTTGACCTAATGTGGAATCCAAATGACCAGTTTATAGTTTTTCCTTTTACCCTCTTTGTTTATGTGTTCTTCACCAAGGCCAGGATAGTTGAAATGCTAAAAACTTACTCATAAAAGGGATTCAAATAATAATTAGTCCATCATCCAAAGTTATATGGGGTTACCTAAATCTTGTAGTAAGCTTGGAGGAAAAATGCCTTTATACTTTAGTGCTCTATTAGTTACTAACTATTTCCTCAGTATACCAATTACTTATCTTTTTCTTTGGTTTCCCAGGTATGAGGCGAGATGTCAATGTTCTTATCTTTATAGACGTTAGAAAAGCATTAGAAGGTGTGATATGACAATATTCCAAACAATATGTTCTTAATGCGAACAAGTTCATCTTGAAATGTCGAATTTTTTTCTGTTTGATGATAGTAAGTAAAATGTATAACAAATAAGACTACTGATTGACTTCTTTATATTTACTTCATCCTACTTCAGAAGGTATGAAGCTTTACATTTCTGACAACAAGGTGATCTTGACGGAAGGTTTTGATGGCGTTGTTCCACCCAAGTTTTTTGAAAAGATAGAATCATGGCCTGGCCGACAGCCTATTCCTTTTTGAGTTCTCTTGTAGTTTTGCTTTTCCTTAGGATCACAGTAAGTCGATTATTATTAGATATGATTATGTAAACCTCTCGCAAGAATTACTATTTGGTTTCTAGTTTCTTGTGAGTAGGTTACTTTGGGTCATTGATTTATACATATATGTGAAGATAGAGTATAATGTACCATTATCATTTATATTCTGTTGTTTTTTTATTATTTATACTTTTTTAATGACTAAATAATAAAATTATTTAGTTTTTGAGTATTGAAATTTATGTATTTTAGTTTGTTGCATTACATAACTTTCCTCACATGTTAAATAGTAATTACAACTAAATTAGTGTAATATTATTTTAATTTAATTGGAATATGTTGACAGAATATCTATCACCGAAAACATAAATGAAAAAGCATTGATATTATACAAAAAATGATATCATCATTTATTCATGGATGATAGAGTCTAATAAGGTGTTTAATATACCTATAGGATATGTATGATCAACTAAATAAATCATCTAACATTTTATCCATAAGAAAAATTAGTTAATAATCAACTTATATTTCTCAACTTTTGAAATAGTTTGTTAAAAAGAACTAGTGTAAATGTGGAAGTGCATAAGATAAATTTACACTTATGGAAGAATTTTAATTAATCTTACCTTTTATTTTTCATATAAATTAAAAAAAAAAAACTCATTTAAATAAAGGCCTCAGGCTTTAAGATGACCTTTATTAACCAACTTTCCAAATCAGAAAGCCTCTAAAAACATGGCATAGACACATCTTAAATTGGACAAGCCTAAAGCATCCAAATTGATCACAAAGGTAAATTTTAATATGTGGATAAGCAAAAACTAACTTTCCGCCAAGGTGCTTCATGAAGAACACATTTGAAACATAGCACAAATAAAAAATCTTGAAACAAAAACGAATCACTGTAGATTGAACTCATTTAAAGAAGTAAACAAATGGGCAAATTAATGAAGTTCAAGAAGATATGGAATTACATCTTCATTCCAATCCTTCCCCGAGTTTGAAGTACTGTTCTCAATGGTTTCTGCAATTCCAATCATCAAAGAAAAAATTGCTTTGAATGATGATCCTGTGAGATTTGTTCAATTACAAGTTCACAAAGTATCTGAAATAATATTGCTTAGATGATGATGTGACTTCTGCCGCAGTTTATTCATCATATCGTGTCTTGAGATGCCCATCCTCTCTTCTCCAACTCTTGTCGCAGTGCCTGACACCAACCAACATGTTTTCATCACAAAAATATTTAAGGTAAGGAATTGCATTTACATCCATCACAAAAATATGCTTCATCTCTGCCATTTTAAATATGTCGATTTATTTCTGATCAAATAAAACTTGAACAAGTGTTTGACATGATATGAAGGAAAAGGGAGTTTGTCCAGCAAGCCAAGAATTTCTTTATATAACTATAGACAAAGCACATAGGATAGGAGGATAAAACCAATCATACCTTTATTCTTTTTCTATTCACATCAAAATCAAAGTTTCCCACCCGAGATGCAGATCGATACTCCACAGTAGAACCCTTACCAGGTGGAAACCAGAACTCAACATCATCCACAAACTGATAGAACATAAAAAATAAGGAAATTAGAGATGGTTCTTGATATCAGCTAAAATATATAAAATTATTATTTTTATTCATGTTGAGTTTCCATAGATGCAAGTTACACATACCCCCAAGATTGAGCTTTTATACTCCACACGAATATAGTCCTCTTTCCTTTCAACTATCCGTGGCGTAAATTTGTCTGGTGTTGTTGATTCAATCTGTAAAAATTATCCGGAGCTGGTTTTTAACTTTAATGAGTGAAACAGTGCAACCAATTATAAGGTTAGCATCATACTCTTAAAATTAAAGTTTAGATCTAATTGAATCCTTATAAATAGACTCATAATTATGAGGGTTGTCTCCACTTAAATGTTTTGATTTCACTACATCACTAATCTAAGAAGGATCTTTAACACTCTCTTAGATAACTCTTTATTATTAGTAAATATTCATTACAAACCACCAAATTATGTAGGTTTCACTCCTGATTGAATGAGTTTGTTTGGTAACCTCATAATCAATAAATTTTAACCAAAAACAAAAGAGTGTACCAGAAATAATGTTGAGAAGTGTACTACTAACTCTCCTTTGTTATATTTTATAAATTATAATCATTGTTGGTAGAGTAAAAGAAGTAAAAGAAAAATTGCAATCCACTGATATATAATTAAGGATTTCAGTTTAGCTAGATTTTTTACCACGTCGATCAATTCCTCCATGGCTTCCTCTCTGCTCACAGAATTTTTCCTGCCTTCAGGGTTATAGTTCCTGAAAAAGAATGAAAATATTAAAACAAAGTGACATCATGCTTCATCTCTGTCAAAAAATAATGTTTGAAATTTGGTGGGACCATACTCAATACAAGGACCAGGCTAAAGAAAAAAGTTTCTTTTGTCAAAAAAGAAAAAGCAAAGATTGCACTACTTTCATCTGCCAATATTTGTATCACCAATAGCCCAATTCTTATGTCAAGTCAACATTGTTCAACAGTCAATAGTCCAACACCAGTTCTATAACTTTCACGTGGTTTAAAACGTGATAAAAATTGTTCCATGTGCACTATTGTCTATTGCAACGTGATTCTCACAAATATTTCATAGCATCCTTTTGGACTAATTCCAACTAATAAACAAACAAACCTGACTGATTATCTCCTAAAATCTGGTTTACCAGACTCCCCTCAGTACACAAATTTGACACCACATGTTACTTATCGAAAATTAAGACTCAAAAGTACAACGTAATGGATTTACTTCAACTTTGAACATGCCTGAAAAAGCTTGATTAGACTCATAAGTATTTGGTTTAAGTATATGAGTTTGAAATACCTTATGAAAATAACATTATGATACTTTTATAAGTTGTTTTCAGTTTATTTAAGATTTTCAAGAATAGCTTGTGAAAATAGTTTAGAACTTGCATTAAGATAATTTAATCATGTTTTCTGTTTAATTATAGTAACAACTTGTACTTAATTACTTACATTAGGAGCACCTAATCAATAAACACTAAACTAAAGTTGTTTATCTAAACACAACAAAAAATTGTTTTTAATTGACATATTCATATAATCCAATGAACCAAAGTTAAAATTAAATGAGAAAAAAGAAGGGAAGTTTTACCACGGAGGAGCATAATGTGTGCGGTCACTGATATTCTCAGAGGTTGACACGCAGTTCTTAGTTGCTGGACACAGAGCTAATGCTGGTGGGTTTTTCTGCACTCCAAGATAATCAGGTTTTTTCCCACTGCACCACCAAAATACAAAACCAAACCAAATTCTCCTTTTCAACAACCACCCATTTCAAACTGAAAGCAGAACCGAAACTAAAAACCAAAACGGTCTCATCACCCATTACCAAAATCAAATTTTGAATTCAATTTACAATAAAAAAAATAAAAAATAAAACTTCTCCAAAAACAGAGGAGGGGTACCTGAAGTTCAAGATGGCACCAAGGGTCGCTATTTCACTGCTTCTCAATATGAGTTCTCTGCAATATACAAAAGAAATTGAAACTTAATGATATTTCAGAAGATGGGTATGAACAGTTATGAACAATCAACAACGGAAAGGAGTCAAAAAAGGAGAGAGTGTAAAGACCTTCGGTTGATTTGGTCGGTGGAAACCTCATCGTGCTGTTTCTGACAGAACAGAATGCGAGGAAGAGAGGAAGCACTGCTTCTACCATTCTTGGGTTTGGTGCGAAACTTGAGGTAGTTACAGAAAGAGCTTGAAGGTGCCATTGAAGCCATTGTTGGGAGATGAAAATTTTGAAGGTTTGAGAAAATTAAGGAACTTGGGACAATTTATGAACTCAATCTAAGAATGTGACACATAAATATTAGAGAATGAGATGTGAATCATGTGATGAATAAAAGAAGGTGGACGGTGGGAATCTTCAACCGTTATTTTTTTCCATGGATTTGATTTTTTTAGAAAATAAAAAAATTAGATTGTTTAATTAATTAAAATAGTGCACAATTTTTTTTACTATAAATATCCACAACTGTTTATATGTACCAAAAAGGCTTTCCAAAAATTATAATATATTTTCTTTTTACAAAAAATACATAAGAAATTCAGATTATTAAATATATTTATAAACTTATTTCACCCATTTTTTTCTTATTTCGATTAATTAAAAAAACCTTATACTCTAATTATTTGAGTCTTAGATTTTTCATTATTCAATTTCACAGCAAATAATTAAGAAGTCACTTAATATTTTATTCCAGTGGAATCCTATTTTAGATTCTTAACTTCAAGAATATGCAATTTTACAAAAATTGAATTTTCCAATGCATAAATTGACTTCAACCTAAAATTGCACTTTCCAACGCATAATTTGACTTCAATTTGAAATTGCACTTTTCCACAAAATGAAGTTGCACTTTTCAATGTATAAATTGAGAAATAAAGATTTAATTTCTTATAGTTTTTCAACTAAAATTTCTTATGAACTCTTCCAATTTTAATTCAAACATAAGGTAAGTAGATTACATAGTAAACTTCACCTTTATTTTTTTTCTAATATAAATAATTATTTAATTTTATTCGTCATTAATATTTGGTTTGATCAGAAATATATAATATTAAATAAATATAAAAAATACTATTATTGTTTATATTATATGTTTTCTAAAGGTAAAAATCATTGATATCAAACCGGACGACCAATTAGATGGGTTCAGAATTTGGGATAAATAATGAATAGGTTAAAAATTTGAAAACTCAGTTAAAAATTAGTGAAATCGTACAGGTAAAATATTATTTGATTTTTTTTTTAAACAATGGCTAAATCACGATGTTTTCTCTTATATGTTTTTTTAGTTTAACATAAAGACACACAAATCTAAAAATATAAAATTATTTTTTGTATTGATGATGATATGTTTTTTATTATAGATTTCTTTCTTAGAACTATGATCCATTATTTTTTATTGTCTTATTTCGACGTCGTACTTGTTATCGTCATTGTCTATTGTTATTATCACTGCAATCATTCATGAAAATACAATAACACATTAGAATCACAATCTCTTAATTTCAAAAATTAATTTGACGAGTAAATAGTAGATTAAATATAGTGAATTATCTTTGAGTTTGAAATAAAACAAAATGTATAAAATTTGTAAGTTAAATGTAATGAAATATATAGTACAATTTTTCTCTTTTAATTGTTTTCAGATTAGACGTAATTTTTTTTAATTATTTTTAAGTTAGTTGTAATTTTTTGTCCTAATTATTTACAAGTTAGGTGTAACAATAATTTTTGTTCTCTAATTACTTTGTACTTCAAGTGTTTGATGATATGTTTATTTATTTTACTTTTTTTCATATATTTTAAAAATCATTCTTATTATTATATAATATTTTTTCAAATAACATTTATATTAATTAAAATTATTATTATATTGTCATAAATTTATTTTCAATTTAATATATTATTATATTATTAAAATATATTATTTTATTAAACTGGTTCCAATTTAATTCCTAGTTAAACTTTGATTAAATTTTTAAATCCTAAACTCATACGCAATTATTTGATGACAGGTGTGATTTTAATACCAATATAAAAACATTGAAATTTTTTTTTAGATTTTGTTACTTTTGCAAAAAAAATGAACAACATTATATGAAATTGTAATAAGAGTGCAAATTAATTTTATTAAAATACATTTAACAAAAAATAAAAATAAAATTAAAACTGATAAATAGTATGTTGATATAACTTAATCAAGCTAGATTGAAATTAGAAAGTTGAGATTAAGAGTGTGATGATAAAAAAATGTTTTACAAATTATAAGATGCCTAAATTTTGCCAGATTTTAATTTAAAAAGATATAAAATAACTGGAATGCAGTTATATATCTGTTGTGTAAATGATGAAAATTATTAAAAATTCACAAATTTTAAAAATCTTAAGAAATAAAAATAAATAAATTACTTGTTGTCCATGGACTGTTATCTATTAACATTAATTTTTGTCTTTATTAAATTATTATTTATATGTTAATTTCTTTCATATGTATTGATATTTATCAAGAATAATTTATTTAATAAGTGATTTTTTCATATCAATAATGTTTTAAAAATATTTTTTATTACTTTATTTTAGTATTTAATGTGAAGATTAATTTAACTTACTTAAGAATAAAAATAGTTTAGGATAAAGTTTGGAATTTTTTATTTATTAAACTAAAAGGTTATAAATGAAAAATTTAACCACATGTTTCTCAAAATTATTTTTTTCTTAAACTTTTTTTTTATTTCTCAAAAGTTCTCATTTTCACCTCTCTTTTTTATATTCAAGCACATCAAAGTCATTAATGGAATAACTTAACCAATCAAAATTTTTAATACAAAAAAAATTTCTTTATCAATTTTTAAAAATTTTACATGTAATTTGAGGGTAAGGCCTAATATGTATGCATGTGAGTTTCATTGAATAAAGAAGAATGTAGCTTAGATTATAAATATTGAGATATGTTTAATTTATTGATTGAATTTTTTTGAAAATAATTTGATTTTTTGTACACTAGATAATTCTAAGTTTTTCCTTAATAAAAACAAATTGAAAGATGAGAGAAGCTAATCATTTTTTTTATTTAGTAGTTTAGGCCAAATGGTAATATGACTTGATTAAATTGTTTGAATTATAAATAATTTGATTTGCTTATGTGATTGTAGGTAAGTGAATTGTGTGTTGATTATAATTGAGTTTTAAGGTGAGTTAATAATTGATTTTTATAAGATTATAAATGATAGTGTTTTATATTGATAGAATGTACTATTAATTTAATTTATTGAATTGGTCTTTGTTTGTATATCGCTTAAGACTCGAGATCAAAAATAATTTATATAATATATCATTTTTTAACTCATTAAAACGTCTTTCAAAGATAAAAACATGATAGATGAGAGCTCCAAAAAGACAATAACTCGAATATGAGAATCGACCATAATAATGTTATCATATTAAACATGAGAATCCTCCTAACAAATAAATCTACTCAATAGTTTTAAATTTGGATAAGAAAGAAGATTTAATTATATGCGATTTTATCTAGGGAATAATTGATAGAAATTAATAATTTAAATTTTGTTCAAAAAATTTGAAAAATATAATCAGTACTTCTAATTTTTACTTAGCCATTTTCATAAAAAAATTCTAAGACTTTAAGAGTTAAAAAAAATATTTAATTGAAAAAATTAATTATTATATATATTTACATTTAGAATATTGAATTAAATACTAAATTTGATTAGATGATGCTTTTACTTTACTTAGATTATATATATATATATATATATATATATATATATATTTATATTTATATTTATGTATTATTTTCTTCGTTACAACTTATTAAATATTTAGGTACAAAATATAAATTTTGATAACAATTTTTTTATAACTTTCATGGTAAAAAATCAAACTTTAATTTAGTTTTTTTTTTATTTTCTGAAAAAAGTATCATTTTATAGAGGTCCTTAAAATTTTAATTATTTAAATGACATTTTTTATAACTTCTTTTAGTAACAATTAAATATTTGTGATAATGTTAAACACAATGGAATATTTTGTTAGTCAAATAATGTTATATTAATTAATTCATTTTTGAACCTTTCAGAATGAAAGTTTTTGCCTGCGTTGTTTTACATTTTAATATATATATATATATATATATATATATATATATATATATGTATATATGTATATATGTATATATGTATTTTTTTATTTTTGGTCTTTTTCAAACTGGTACATACCCTTTGATTTTACCAATAAGAATATTTCTTGCAACACAACACAAAATTCAGGATTGGTGGGACCTTGGTGTTGAACTTACCTTTGAAGCGGGAAGTCAGAAGGTGCACGAAGCAATATTCATATAACTCTCCTTCTTCTTCTTCTGCAAGCTCAATCTCCCTCTTTCTCCTTTTCCACACATGGCTCGAAACAAGGTTCGAATTTTACTTCATATCTCGATACCCTTTTGCATTCCTCCACTTCACTTCTCTGGGTTTAGGGTTTTACTTCAATATTACTCAATTTGTTCAAGTTTATATTTGCTTTTTATTGCCACAATGAAATTATGGGTGTTAACAGGAAGCTTTGCTTTTGCTGCTTGATGTGGGCCCATCCATGCATTCTGTTCTTCCTGAAATTGAGAAAGTCTGCTCCATGCTTGTACAAAAGAAGGTATTAATCATTCCCACCCCTTTCTTATTCAAAGTTTCATTTTTTCTATTGTTGTTAATTTAATCTCGTGTGTCTGGTCTTGTTAGTTTATTCAATGCTATTTCTTATCAACTAGTAAAAAAAATCTTGTGTGTTTGGTTTTGTTAGTTAATAGTTCAATAGCACGATGCTTCTGTTGGTTTTGAATTTGTTTATGTGCAGCTGATCTATAGCAAATATGATGAAGTGGGAATAGTCTTATTTGGAACTGAAGGTACTCACTCACTTTAATCTTTACTATGCAATGGATCATGTTGATTTGTTGTTTTATGTGCATTACTGATTTTATTGTCATGTGATTGCCAACTATGCTTGACTGAAAATGGTAGCTATCTGTAATGCAGAAATGGGGAGTAAGAACTAAGAAATTATTGGATAGTCCTTGCTTTACTTTTTACTTCTGTTGTGTTTCATTCTCATTGTAAATAAAATCTTTGCCCTGTTGACTACACTGGGTTTTTCATTTTGATTTTTTTGTTGTTACTGTTACTAAATAGTAACTAT